ATTTGAAGGTTGACGACAACCGAAATTGAAGCCGATGAAGCCAACAGTCTCCACAATTCGTTGAGTCATAAGATATATCAAATTCTCAAAGACGCGGCCACTTTATTGATAAAATGGCGAAGAATCAACAAATGAAGCGACCTATAATTTCACTGGTGATGAATAATTCAACTGAATTTCTGTCCAGTTGGCAATCGTATTGGATAGAGAGATGACTGTTTGAAGAAGTAAATAAGAAAAACGAAACGCCGGTTGGTGAAAATGCCTTTAAGTTCAGAAGGATCAAGTTTTTAATACCTTTCTGGGCACCGTGTCCAAACCACACCCCCATTCGCGAGACCACGTCAAAACCCGCATTCGTGATACGATGCTTTCTGGGGAGAAAAGAGCAATTGTCTCTCATACATCGATATATAGGGTTATGATGATATGAAAAATGCCTTCATGTACAGAGATGGACGAAGAGTACAAAAGATCAGCATGAGAAATCCTCGAATAGAATAGATCCAGAATAAAAGCCTCTATGAAGTTTCAAACTCGTTCGCCTAGATCTAGAAAAAAAAACATAGCGAACGCTAATACGTTGTCGAATATTTGCCCATGTAAATGGTCACTAAAAATGGCCTGTTAAATGTCCAGAAGGACTGGTTAGGCTAAGTACAACAATACTTTCCATATGGTAAACAACTATTGCAGACAATATTTTGGAAGAAAAGTCGAACGAGTGGCATTCCCTACCGACCGTTAAGAATCTATTTATTAGAAGTGCCCAAGGCGAGTTGTAGAAGACGATGAAAAGTAAACTCAGATATTGCGAATACTGAATGAAGATGTGAGGTACAAGGTGACGAGTGTTTACATGTCATTATGTTTAGAGATACGAGGGCTGTTACTGCATTTAATACTTCCGATAAAGTAATTGAATATAGTATAATCGTCTACTATTGTGTCATTCCCGGCATCATTCTGGCCATAGAAAACGAAAACGATGTACCTTCACGATTAGTGACGTCATTAAACACTTGGTTTTTGTGTAATTTAAGGAACCACAGACGCCTAAAAAAATTGGAAAGGTGCAAATTGATGCTATCAATGTTCCCAATACACATATATCTTTTTTAGAAAACCTCTTTACATTCCCTCAACTGAATAAAGTATATTAGTACAAACAATAACTTTAATATTTCAACTTTAAAAAACAACAAACACAACAAACTAATTCCGAATGTCTGATATATTGTTATGCGGATTATTTTAAGAAGTTGAATTTGTGGAAATCCTAGAAGTTTTCGGTTGTTCCTCGGAGAACCTGATAGCCACAAAATCAAAATCACACAAAATTATCCATAATATCGCTTTATTTCATCCGGGATAGTTTCATTTTCAACCAGGACTAAAGAGATCGGGAGAGAAGACCGCGCTCACTTGCGAAGGATTCGAATTTACTGGGGTAGAATTGTAACAATTGATCCCGGGTTCCTTGCTCAACTTTAGATCACGGGTTGATTTCACAGGGCTGGGAGAAAACATGTTCTGAGAGCATACAAACTCATGCAATCCAGAAGGCACGCCTTGGACTGATTTACGCAAACACGATTTTAAATTGTTAGCTGAGGTTAATGGACTGGAAGTCTTACACATATTGAGCCGAATGTCGACTAAGTTTAAATGTCTCACAGTGCTCAATCTTCGAGCAAAATTCACCCGTTTGCTGGAACACAAATTGTGGACTGGGTTCAGAACCGGTCCAGATGTGTCCATCACAGAATTATCCACTGTCAGCATACTTTTGGATTGGGATTTAACACCAGATTGGGAAGCTGCAAAACTCCGAGAACAATCAAATAAATCCATGGATCCATCTTCTGTTACATCCAAAAATTGACTGGAATAATTCAGATCATTGTCGACATCAGTTCTGTTTTGTTGCATGTCGTTTTCGTGGACAGCATGGCTGATCAAATCTGTCGCCACATTCTCGGGCTTCGATGTGTTTAACGTTTCAGGAAAATCCTTACCATCTCCAGTTTCACCTCCTTTCGACAACACCCCACCATTTCTGGCAGCTTTTGAATGTGAAAACGGTGAATTATTCATAGTGTTTTCCTTTTGTTGAAGGTCTTTTCCTTCTTCGGGCAGCATATCAAATATTGAGGGAGAAATTGGTGCTCCTAAAAATTGTTTCTGACTACAGTCCATAGCCAATATCTGCGAGTCATCAACGCTGTCGAATTCTAGATCTAAATTTGCCTTTGTGATAACTGGAAGCTCTTTTATCTTGATACTTATAGTTTGATTCAAAATGACTTCTTCCGATTTCTTTTCAGGCATATTCAAAACGGAATCACAAGTTTTGTTTTGATTTAAATTTGAAGCTTTGCAAAGATCTAAAGCAAGAAAGTCGTCATTTTCTAACTCGGTTCCCCACTCCACTGTGGTGTCTTCTTTGTGGATAACATTTTGATACGAATGTCTTTCAACCTCCACGTCCTTCAAATCCATACCAAGCAATAGTTCTGAGATATCATTCTTACTACAAGAGATTGAGTCTCCAAACAGACTCTCCGTTAGAATATCATGGTTAAAATGCGCAGATGAATTCCTCATTACTTCAAGATCAAGTATAGTGGACGCATTAGCTCCAGAATCTTCTAAACTCTGAACATTGATATTCGAGTCCTTGATTTGGAGAACACAACGAGTGCTTGGAGCATCATTATATGAATAATCTTGTGCATGGGGATTTTGGTTATCTTTTCCTACATAGGACGTGTCCAAATTCGAACAGTTTACATTATCTTGGGTTTTCGGGCGAAAATCTTGTGAATTAAAAGACGATTGTCCATCTTCCTCGTCGCTAAAAAGACACATTGATCGTTGGGAATCATCTCCAAAATTACCATGACCTGTTCTACCATTGCCACAAACAGCAGACACATTTAAATTCTGACCATTTGAACCATTGGAATTTTCCCAAACTGAAGAACTATTCACTGCAGAACGAACAATGCAGATAGGCTGCTCGGTCTTCATTGATTCATGTCTAAAAGAATTTGCGAGGATACAAAATAATGACTAGTCAATTCACAATTTTCAATTTCTTTTAGACATGCTTCAAAGGACAGACATGTACTTTGATCATAGTTTATATTTTGGCTATCAGAGCCCATTGTGTCAGATTGAAATGGACTATTAAGCACAGCAGTTTGATCTTTAGAACTATCATTCTCGGTCTGTTTATCAGCAGAAATATTACATTTTGTAACTTTGAGCTGAGCATCATGACTTTTGGGATTATCAAAATCTTTTAGCTCTGCCTCGAGGTTAGTGAAATTATCACATTGCTTTTCTATATGGGTATTATCACTTTTGTTAATATCACAATATGGGATTTTAAGGCAAGGAAGAAAAGTTCTAGAATGATCACATTTGGGATCAAGTATTGGTTTATCACATCGCTGTTGGGTTTCAAAGTCCACAAAGTCTTCGGTCATAATCTGAGCATCAAAAGAATCGTTGTCCAGAAACTTGCTGAGGTCTTCAGATGCGGGCATTTCACAAACATTTTCGGGAATTTCTTCAACACATTGAGCAAACCGGAATCCATTAACTGCATTTAAGGGGTTAAGGGGCAAATATGACTTCTTTGAAGATGGAAGCAAAGCAGTCGTATCGGATAATTTGGAAGAACTCTTATTAAAGGTTTTAGGTTTAAAGTTTGAGGGCGCCTTCAATGTTGTTCCGAACTGCAATGACTCAGGACAATCAACTGACAAAAAGGATGCATCATTTAAAAATTGGTCCAGATTTTCAGATTCAGGCATATCTATCACAGTCACTTGGCTTGAATTTTTTTGTGTTTTTTGTGATTTCTGACCTACAGATTCAATATTAGAATTCAAACCAGTAAAATTAAAAGAATTATCCCAGTCAGAATACGATAAGTAAGACGGATCATAATGAGCCTTAATATCTTGGTCATAATTTCTCAAAACTTCAAGTGAGCTCTCATCATGATTATTTGGCATAGATGTCAGTTTGGAAGCATCTGAACTTCTAATCATGCCAGAGTTTTCTGGTTCAATGGTGGTTGAATGTCTATAAAAACTGTCCTGTAATTTTGAGCCACATTGGATGTCTTGAGATGTTATGTCACACTTGGTTGTTGGCATAAAGTTTCCTGAATGAGCAAATTTGAAACAATTGTCAGTAATTTGACCCTGGCTTATATTTTGTGCAGAGTTTGACCCAGAATTATATCTAACAAGACTATGTTTTTGAATGTTTTGCTCTGGGAGGCGAATCTTAAAATCTTTGTTTTGTTGGGTTTGTTTTATAACACTATTTCCACTGACATTATTCTCATCAACTGTTTTCAAACAAGGATCAACACTCAGACATAATTTCTTTGACAGCTTTGGTCTGGAAACCTGATTGTTTTCATTTTTAATCTTCTGTTGTTTTGGGGTTTCCAGACTTAATTCCAAATCGTCCACAAGTACATCAGTGACATGACCAGATTTGTCAATGGTTATATCACAGGTTGTTTCCATTGATTCTTTAGGCCTTGATTTTGTCTGTAAATTCACATCATTTTGTAAATGAGATTCATTAAAATTAGTCTGATAACTAGATTGTTCATAGCTCAATTCTATTCCAGAAGTGGTCGAGTCCTTAAAATATGAATAATTTTCGGATTGGTCAAATGTTGTGTAAGGGAGATAACTACATTCTTGAATTGACTTACAACCTGTATTGACTACAAAACACAATGGTTTTGAATCCCATTTTAAGTCTGTCAATGTCTGTAAATTATGCAGGACTGTATTACCGGTGAAGGACACATTAGCTGAAGATAAAATTTGAACTGCCACCAAATCAGAGTTAAATGAGGATTGTGTAGCATAATCTCCCAATCTCACTTTAAGAACCGTGGACCCACAAACGGGTGAAGTAGGACCATGATATTTCTGTAGTTCTTTCAATCTAGCATTGGATTTAATACCAAATATAAAACTTTGTCCGACAAAAGTCTCTTCTAAAGCGCTTAAAAGCATGTTTTCTTCCAGTAAATTATCTTCATCTATTTTTCCTAGAAACCTACATATCAAAAAGAGCTAATTGGTACATTGGTAGCTAAATGGACAAGAATATTTAGGAACAAAAATACAAATGTAACAAACTCATGCAAAACAATTTGCTTAAAATCTTTTCTAGACAAAATACACATTTTCATTTGCCAATAGGTAACTCATATACAGGAGGAATTTTTTTTTATATATCAGCCAATCATTTAAGCACAGAAAATAAGATGTATTCAGAATAGTGATTTTTTTAAAAGCAACAAACTGGCTATTTTTATAGTAAATATTATAATGACACTCAGACATTTTGGACAAATTTATAGAAAGCAACAGTTGTGTAGCCAAATACACATAATACGAACATCATGTAGATCACAGATACCTTGATCAAAAACTTTTTCAAATTGAGCAAATTCTTATCCTTTGAAATTGAAAATCATGCTAAAAAAATCAAACGAAGAAGAAGATATTAATACAAACTATTCAAAGTAAAATTAAAACTCGAACACAGAACAAGTGAAATACCTATGAAATCTTTCAGCAGATGTACCAAAGTATGGTTCTAGAGTTTTACCAAATAAAGCTATATCAGTTACACTAGCTTTCTCTGCCACTGTTATACTGAGCCGAAATCTCCATTCTAGTTTACTTTCTTCATATACTATACTACATTTAAAACATATCCACCTACAAGATGGATGATATAGAGTTTTACTAATAGCACTTTGACATGTGGAATATTTCCTTTTTTCTGATTTTCAATAGGGTTCATCCTTAGGTGATTACAAACAATCATACCAAGTTTCGTCAAAACCAATCAAGAATTCTAGAGTGTTCATGAGATATTGTGGATCGACAGACGGACTGATAGACATGGGTGATGACAATATGATCCGCATCCAAACCAACTACTCATTTATAAATCATTTTACATCCAACACAAAGCGTAAGCAGCATTAGTCATTTTCAGATCTGCATCAAAATCTATTTGGGCATTTCTGCGCAAGTACTAACTAAAATACACTCTGGACCTACTGATCACTCTATATTCTAATAAAAGTCTTTAAATTGCATTAAGCGATTTGTTATCGGATATATTGACACAACAGTTACTGATTAAAGGTTTATGCAATGTTACGACAAGTTTCTTTCTCAGGCACTTAGCTATAGAGAGTGAAAGGCAAACTAAATATACATTTACGGTCATAAATTTCAAGGAATGGGCAAGTTTAGTCAAATTTCTCTTCTTAATCAATTACATGTACTTACTCTTTTTCATACTCTTCATGTTGGAGTTTGGAATAGCATTGTTTACAACACGGATATAATATCTGATCATCTTTGACAGCAATGACGCTAGCGTGGATCAATATCCTTCCATCATTAGCCATCACATCTGTGGTTACAGAGAGAAGTCTGCTAATACTTTTTCTGCTTTACCCTCTATAATCTTGCAGTTCTGGATCTAAATATGAAAAAATTATTCAATTGCTGTCAAAGCAAAGTATGCTCAATTTTTCATACTGTATTTACTCGGTAGCACAAACAGAATATGCCCAGGAACTGTCAGAGGAAATGAAAGAGAGGTCCAACAGGGCTTTCTTCAAGCAGACAAAACACCTTGACGCAACTACAGAGGGCAGCCCAGGACTGATGGCTATGGCTGATTGTTTATTAGTGGCCAAAGACTCGAGAAGAGCAACAGGCACAAGTAAGTATTCATTAGAATAGAGACACTGTGGCATATGCAGTGATATAGCAAGGATTTACTTGAGTGAGGCCATCCAAGCACTCCCCATATCTGCAGAGTTAAGAAGGCACTAGTCATTTAATGGCACCATCGACACAGGTAATGCATGCTTCCATAGGAAAAACAATTCTGCATTCAGGTCAGAGCATTCCAAAAGTCAGTGCAAAAATACTGGGTTTAAATGCCTGCTGTTGATGACCTAGAGCATATGATGTGGCTCATGAATGTTGGGGTCTGCGGATTCTAGTTGGGTCTGCGGCTTATAGTATAGGGGGTCTGTTGATTCTAGTTGGGTCTGCGGAATATAGTATAAGGGGTCTGTTGATTCTAGTCTAGGGGTCTGCAGAATATAGTATAGGGGGTCTGCTGATTCTAGTTGTGTCTGCTGAATATATTATAGGGGTCTGATGATTCTAGTTAAGTCTGCTGAATAAAAGTATAGGGGGATTGGTTCTAATTGGGTCTGTGGAATATAGTATAGGGGGTCTTCTGATTCTAGTTGGATCTGGGGAATATAGTATAGAGGGTCTGCTGATTCTCGTTGGGTCTGCGGATTATAGTATAGGGGGTCTGCGGATTCTAGTCTAGGGGTCTGCAGAATATAGTATAGGGGGTCTGCAGATTCTAGTTGGGTCTGCTGAATATAGTATAGGGGGTCTGGGGATTCTAGTCTAGGGGTCTGCAGAATATAGTATAGGGGGTCTGCAGATTCTAGTTGGGTCTGCTGAATATAGTATAGGGGGTCTGCAGATTCAAGTTGGGTCTGCTGAAAATAGTATAGGGGGTCTGCAGATTCAAGTTGGGTCTAGGAATTCTAGTATAGGTGGTCTGCGGATTCTAGTTATGTCTGCAGATTCTAGTTTGGTCTGTGGATTCTAGTATAGAGGGTCTGACTGGGGACTGATCTTCCGATTATACAGGTCTGCTATCTTCGATCTTTGGCTTATACACTACCCCACTTTATGCCATTATCAATACATGCACTATACTATGCACCTTTCTCCATTCTTTTGGACTGCAGTGAAAAGTTGTAAGATCTTCTAGAGACCGTAAGATTTGACTTTTGGTCATATTCAGCACTCACAATGATCATTTAATACGTGCAATTTGCCGCCAAATTATCAGTCTCGATCGTCCAATTGAAGAAAGCGTGATTTTCAACTTGTCGTCTGGTTGATCAAGAGTAACCCTTGTTTATTTACCGTTATCTTGTTAAATGTCGTAAAATCCAAGGTTTTTTTTTCGTTGAAAAACCTTTGTTGAAAATCACCATAGATAGTTTAAATTATGAATAAGTCAATCAATATCTAGACAAATAAAATGACTTATTTGTTTCTTAAGAATCTGTCATGAATAATTATTTTTTAGTTTTGTTTACATTTGCGACAACCAAATGTGAGTGAGTGAGACGTGATCCGCGGGAATAAATGTCAAAATAGAAGTGGTAAAATTAATATTTTTTAGTACCGGTAATTTTATGATCTCATTCATAAAAATTCAAGAAATGATAAATGCATCTTTTAGCACATGCTGTTAACTTTCAATACAAGCAGTTGTCACAGCTGAAAAAAATTCTGATAGCCTAGTAACTAGTTTGGGAAAATTCATTATTCCGATTGGCTAATTTGGGAAAATTCATTGTCAGACTCAAAACTCAACATTTATCCATGAAATTTTCAGGCAGGAAAAATCATCAATTATATGTTTGAGAATTTAATTGAAAATTTAATTTGGAATATTTGTGAAATGAAAAAGGAAATTTGATTCTAAGCTCACTGTGTTTGAATAGCAGTAATCAATTTTAATATTTCTTTAGATAGGATACAGTATTAATGTAAATTAATGATGGAAGAATTTGAAGATGATGATGATGACCTTTTGACCTCAATTTGTTTGGAGGATCCAGTCCAAGAACAGAAGGGTAGGTTATTATTGATACCACTATTCATCATGAAATACTTACTCATTTGAAAAATTCATTAGTTGCTATAAATGTTTTGCCAAAATGTTGTTTCGGATTTAGGGTTTTGTTTTGCGGTACAAATCGTTAGTTAAGTAGGACATTCATTTCAGTTCAGTCGTTAGTACTTGGTTTATTCATTCAATTTGAAATAAAAGCTGTATAAAAGAAACAGCCTGTGTTTTTCATCAGTAGGCTATAACATATTACTATTAATTTCAATTCAATGAAAATTGTAGTCAGTTGATAATGTCTTGACAAAGTTGATTAAAGTTGTGTCTCTAGCAAATTGGACAACAGTATTTATGAATATGTTTTCTATTAATATGAATGAGTGAGTATAAGACGTGTAATAACATTTTGAGTTGTTTTTCAGAAGACACATTTGTACCAGAATCCTTTCCCTTTCCATTTGAAGCCTATGATATCCAGACTGGTTTTATGAAAGATTTATATAAATGCCTCAATAATGGCAAAATAGGCATTTTTGAAAGTCCAACAGGAACGGTAAGGGCTGTTTTGTCTCATTATAGCAATAGAGTAAAAAAATATGAAATGTTTGTTGAATAGAGGAAAAGTTCCAAAGATGAATTTACTTAAAGGGACAGTAAGACAGGAGGTGTGATGAAGGCCTGTCTCCCAATGGCCAATAATATATGTAATTTTTTTTGGCAAGAGGACAGGGAATTATAATCTTTCAGACAAACATTTTATTCTATTTGTAAAATTTTCATTGAAAAGCATCCTAAATTTGATTTTCAGGGAAAGTCATTAAGTTTAATCTGTGGTGCATTAAAATGGTTGAAAGATTATCGTGAAAAACAACAACAAGAGCTAGAAGAACTGACTGTCTCTGAGGGTAGTAAAGGGTAAGTTTCAGGCTTCCTTATCTCAAGGTTGATCAAATCATCATCATTTGGTTTCTCTCAACACCCAAGGCACCTGAATTGTCAATATTTAACTGTAATTTGTAGAATTAGGAGATGAAATCGGACACAGGGCCGACTCTCGAAAGCAATCACACAGAAATCAGACTTTTTGTTACCTTGAGGAGGATTTTGTTGTTTGTAGTTTTATTCTCGTGCACCAACAGTTTAGACTTAGTTTCTGGAATCCTTATGAGATTTAATATGTTACACGTTCTAGACGAAAATGATTTTTTTTAAATTTTACTTCTTATTTTTATCAGGAATTCACAAGTATCTAATGGTGAGCTATTGTTTATTATATCTCTCCACTTTCTATGAACCATATAAACAATTCATTTTCTTCTCTGATTAAGATATAACTTTAAGATTTTGCTAGAAGTATGTATAGGATAGTGACTTTTCTACATGCCTTGATATTTTTAATGAAGAGGAAATTGATCTGAAAATTAGAATATGTTATCTCCAACAGAAACTCATGATAAAATACCAATTAAATGTTTTCTATCATAGGTGAGTTAGATTGGATTACTGATTTTGCCAAGAAGAAGGAAAAAGAAGAGAAATTGAAGAAGATAAAGGTATCTTTCAAAGAATTCAATAGAAAGAAACATGTTTGCCTCTGTGGATCAAGGATGACAGCTTCTCTCTTGTTTCATGTTTTCCATTTGGCGAGGCTATATGTCTTTTGACAATGATTATCCACCAGCATGGTCAACAGAATCTAATGAACAATATGATCAAAGCCTAGTTGAGACATCAACTAATGTCCTAGGTGTTCTGATGAGATCCATGAACTGAACAATTCATTTCTTGGTATATTGATGAAAGCCTTGTTATTTCATCTGTAGGAAGAACAAGAAAATATATTAAAAAGAGAAGCCAAGTTGAAAGAATTGGGTCGTGGAGTTGGGACACATCAAGTAAAACGCAAGGTAAAGTGTTTTATTTAAGATAATGGATTTGTATAAGCTTTGGCTGTTTGCAAAACGTCATATACAATATTTTGTTGTATCTCATATGTATTGATACAAATGAAATATTTGTTGAAGGTTTACTACCTCTTAGACATAACAAATCGAAAAAAGAGGAGGCTAATGCCGCTGTCCTGGCAAAATTTCCTTCAATGTACCCTGCATGGTGTGGCCCGTCTTCATTAGCTCGCATGGTGCAGAAAAGGAGGAGGTAAAACTCCATTCATTTCATTTCATTTCTTAGACATAACATAGATATTATATTCTCAAAGTTAGACAATAAGAGTATAATATATTCATCAATTGACTTAATTGATGTAATAAATGTACAACAGAATCTATGTATAATTTTATAAATCCATAAAGTAAGTAAGTAGTAAGTATTCAAAAATGCTTAACAGTTTGATTTTTATTTTTCATTTATTGGCATCCTGTAACTTAGTGTTCATTCTTAGAGCTAGTATACCTGTAAACAGAGGAATTGAGGATCATAAAAACAAGACTGAATGTGCTTTATTTGACTTTATACCTTCTGAGCCTTATTAATTTTAGTTAAAAGTGTATTTCATTCTTCTTCAGAGAGTAAAAATGGAGGATGAATTTGAAGCTCTGATGAAAGATGCTGCAGTAGATATCAAGGAAGCTTTCGATGCTGAGATGGAAGCATTAAAGAAAGAGTGTAATATATCAGATGTACCAGAAGATGCTCATCTCATGTTAGATGATTATCTCAGTGATGATGATAATGATGGAGGGAAACCTAAAGAAGATGATTTGGAGGAAGAACACATAACTAAGGTGAGAAAGCTGGGATTTGATAGGTTTCAGCATTGATGTCTCAGTGATTTTTATTTTGAAAAGATTGATTACATATACATAGCCTCTTTTCCAGTTAGGGCCCATGTAGAAAAGCTACGGAGTAGTCATACCAAATTTTACAATAAGATAAAACATCTTGGTGTTATTTGATATAGTGTATATGGGATAAAAAAAAGTGGCATTTTCCAACAGACAAGTTTATGATTTCAAAGTTCAGGGGCTGTTTTTTTAAAACTTGTGATAAAAGTGTCGCAATTGTGCAAATTTGTAAAAATTGGGCCAGTAAATTTTGTTATTATTTTTCAGATATATTTCTGTAGTAGAACACATTCTCAGCTCTCTCAGTTTGTACGAGAGGTCATCAAGAGTCCATATGGTGATGATACAAGAGTGATTTCCCTTGGATCAAGACAGGTTTAAATGATGCTTTTAGTGCCTCTTTCAATTTGATGCTTGGTTATTAGGAGCCATACGTTACAGTCCTTCTGTAGAAAAAAATTCTTGCAACCATTACCAGTGTTTTGCAGTAAATTCATTTATTGTTGCTTCAAAGTCAAGATACGCTCTCTCTTCTTGAATACTTTATGCCACTCTTAGACTGCATCTGTTATCTTGGCACTACTTTCTTAGAGTTTATATTGCTGTTTATTTGATACATTAATTTACTGTCATGGAGTGATTCTATGTTAAGAAAATATTTCTGAATAATATTTTTCAGAATCTATGTGTCAATGAAGCAGTAAAGAAATTAAAATCACTAAGTTTAATTAATGAAACATGTCTGGATATGCAGAAAAAAGGTTAGTGTCGAAATTTCATATTCTTAATTCACACTTACAATGTTATTTTTATTTAGTCCTGGAGTATATTGGCAGTTTGGGCTAAATAACATTGAATATTGAGATATTTTTATTTTAGTCTGAAGCAGAATTTTACAAATTGATAGATCTGTGTTCAAAAAAGAATGAATTTCACCACAATTCTTGTTATTTTGCAGTAGGTGTGTACCCCCCCTCTAAGAGAAATGTATTTGAACTTAAATATTTTTATTGTAGGTAAAAAATCGACAGGTCAAGATGGACCAAGTAACAAGAGAAGCAGATTAACAACATGTCCCTATCATAAATATGATGTTTTACAGGACTTTAAAGATGCTTTACTGGTATGTCTATGTAAAATGATCAACATTTTTTTCCTAATTTGATATTACAAATAGTTTGAATTTGAGCTCTACTGCAATAAGTGCTTATGAGGCAGAGCTTTCTCACCCATGACAATACTTAACAATTTGAGCAATGCTCTTTGACTTATGATCTAGACTGAAAACTTTACAAATAAGAAATAGGCAATGGCAAAACCACAATTCTGGTGTGATCTGTCAGATTATCTCAATGTGACATTTTTTTTGATAGCTCTCTTCATACAGTATATTCTTTATCTAACCTTTGTAAACTGTGAACACTAACTTGTTAAAATAGACATGAAAACTTTGTTAAAATTATAACTGATATCGTACCCTCTATATATTTCTAGCTGGAAGTGAGAGATATTGAACAGTTAGTTACTGTTGGTAAACAAATGAAAGCCTGTCCATATTATGGTACCAGATACGCTATACCAGCAGCTGAGGTAAAGACCCTTTAAATTATAACGCTCAATGAAAGAAAGAAACAACCATATATTGCAAGGATAAATACTACCTTTCTAGGATCATATCTAGAACATCTTTCTAACAGAACCATTTACAACCAGGTTGTCTTTAATAATGAAAATAGATGACTTTTTGTTAGATTTTTTTGAAAGATAATTTTTCATACTGTCTAAAATTTAAAGATAATTGAAGCCCACAACTCTCATGTGTCAGCCCTAATTGAGAAAGTTTCCACTGAATAAATGTTGCATCGCTGCAATGCATTCTTACATTTTATGTTTTAGATAGTAGCATTACCCTATAATACCCTACTACACAAATCAACGCGAGAGGCTTGTGGTATTAAACTCAAAGATAACATAGTGATTATAGATGAGGCACATAATCTATTAGAAACTATTAATAATATATATAGTGTGGAAGTCACTGGTGTACAGGTAAGTGTCTGCATGGGATCCTTTTAATTGTCTTCATGGTGTTCTCCAGTGATGTTGGTTTGAGGGGAAGACTGAAAAGTGGCCCATCTGAAAATTAATTGAGACTCATGATTAACAGACACATTGGACACATAAGCAGGGAATATTTTTACAGTGGTGTACAAGTATGTGTTTGCTGGGGGTCCTCTTATATTTCTTCATGGTTTCTGTCAATGATGCAGTTTGCAGGGAATGACTGAAAAAAGGCTTTTGTCCTCTGGGTTGAAAAATTAAGCATAGCATACAAGTTAGTATTCAGTGGGGCTTCTCTTCTGTTTAATTTTAATGTTTTTCTAGTCAGTGATGCATAACAGAGGGGCAGACATTATTTTACCAAATACCTTATTTTATTCCCCAACAGGCTTTACGTGCCCATAACCAGTTGTCTCAATATGAGAAGAAATACAGATCTAGACTAAAAGCGAAGAATTTGATGTATGTAAAACAGATTTTATTTGTTTTGTCTGCCATTGTCAAATGTCTTGGAGGTGAGTATTTTCATTTGATTATTTTATTCTCTCAGTGTATTCAAAAATAAATCATATGAATATATTGAGTGAATAAAATAATTCACTTAAAATATTCATTTGATCTATTCATTCAGAATATTCCTATGATTGATTATTTATTCAATCTTATGAAAACATATTCAAAGTATTCTTGTGATTTATTTATTTGATATATTCATTTGATTTTTTCATTCAAAATATTTGATTTATTCATTTGATTTATTCATTTGAAATATTCATTCAAATTATTCATTTGATTTATTCATTTGATTTAATCATTTAAATTATTCATTTGATTTATTCATTTGATTTAATCATTTGAAATATTCATTTGATTTATTCATTTGAAATATTCATTTTGATTTATTCACTTGAAATTTTCATTTTATTTATTCATTTTATTTATTCATTTGAAATATTCATTTGATCTATTCATTTGATTTATTCATTTAAAGTATTCATTTGATTTATTCATTTGAAATATTCATTTGGTCTATTCATTTGAAATATTCATTTGATTTATTCATTTGAAATATTCATTTGATTTATTCAGTTGATTTATTGATTCAAAGTATTCATTTGAAATATTTATTTGATTTATTCATTTGAAATATTCTTTTATTCATTCAAAGTATTCATTTGACTTATTCATTTTCTCAGCATATCCAAATTATTTGGATGTTGATGTCGATCAATTTGATTTTAATTCTTTGATTTCTAGGTAAAGTAGATGAAAGCGGTGAAAAACAGATTTTAAATAGAACAGGTAAACAAATTGTTTTCTTACAAATTGTTTTCTTGCAAATTAACTTTGCAACAAAAAAGAATTTTTCCTTTGAATCTGCTTTGAATCTTTATCACCTGAGCAAGGCCAAAAAATGTTTATAAGAAATGCTCAAAAAATGTCAAACTGATTAACTAAATATTCTGATTTTATACATTGCTATATTTAATCCTGAAGTAGAAATCCTAGGCTAAATGGTCAAAAATGGTGCTTATCCAACACCTGATGTTTCACAGGATGCATGTTTTCTAATTACTTCTAATATTGAATTTCATACATCTTGTATTTAATAGAAGTAAAACTAATAAAAAACATTAAAATTGTTGTGACCTAGTATGAGAACAGAAAGTAGGTCACTGTTATGAAAGCTATTTTGCTACTGTATATATACATGTAGAGTATACAGCTTGACCTATTTAAACTCCTTTGTGTATTATAGAGACCCAGCTTAAAACCATCAATGACTTTTTGTTTATCACACAATTAGACAATTTGAATTTATTTAAAGTATTGAGATACTGTGAGAGGAGTCAGATTAGCCGTAAGGTAAGAGACTTTGTTTATTGTCAGTCACCACTTGACTTCCGTTTCACTACACTTCCTTTCTAGTCTACTTCTCTCCCTTTGAGAAACGTTGAGTGTTGAAGGACATCTGTCAGCTTTAATTATAAAAGAAATCTAATTTTCTTAGATTAAATGAATTTCTTGAAAAATTCTAAAAAATTGCAAAAATATCTCAAATATTTCATCTGTAAGTGAAATTTTACAGCAAAATTCATGATTTTGTATATCAATTTATTTCAAGGATTTAAGGGTTTGGCTAAACCGAATGAAATATACCATGAAAAATTTTAAGACATTAAGGTTAACAATATTCTAGCATACTTACCTGGTACGGGAGGCACCATGATCAGCAAGGCGGTCCTCCCAGGGTGAGGCCTTTCCATTGCACTACTCGGATTGGCTGACCCCTGCGATCGCCCCAAATGTGGGCGACTCGAGTACGTAATTTTTTAGTGTGGGGGACTGCGTTCGCGCTATCCCCTGGAAATCAATATAAAAGAGTTGTCCCTTCCCCTAAAAACAAGCTTTCCTTAGGACTGCTAGTTCAATAATTCCCTATCAGCCCATTCTTTTAATGGCCTTTATAGTATTTTATTGCGTCTTATTGTCAATCTGATTGTAACAGTATTTTTGTGCACCACATCTTTTGCATTTTCCTTATTAATTGGCTTATATCAATTAAAATAATAGAATTTTCTTTATATATCTAAACATTTGGAAATATAACTATTATTTTGAACTTTAAATGACAACAATGCCCCAGTTTACAATCATAAAGAACATTAAGCTTCATGTCTGATTTTTTTGTCTTGATCAATTAGACATTTTTGATTATTCATGTATTTTGAATCATAATGGACTTGTATATTATGTGTGTTTTTATTGTTTAGCTTCATGGTTTTGTAGAAAAATATTCCGATACAGAAATAAACACAAGTAAGCTTTATTCTGTTATGAGATGCATTTCATTATATTTTTTCCAAGACTTTTCTTTTTTCAAAAGTTTTTAACCCTTAGCTTTATTTCAACTCATCATCAATATCTAGATATTTCAAAATATACTATGCATTTATCATTAATTAATGAGCAAAAATAACTTTGGAAATGCTGACATATTTTGTTTGTCAAATTGTGAATAATTTTGATAAATGTTTTCAATACTTATAAATATTTTTTGTCTGTATTTTTGTTTTTGTTTTAGAAGATGAAAAAGAGAAAGAAAAGGAAACAAGTAGATCGGGTGTGACTAAATTCCTACAGGAACTCAATAATAAAAACACAACCTCAGACCTCCCCAATCTTGGTATGCTTCATCATTTGTTTTATTGGGTTTACACTGAATTCCAAAAATAATTCTTCAATTTTGTGAAACGTCCGAGGGGGCGAAATACCCAAGGTTTTTCCGAATTTCTAACCTAGTGATGAGATTTTTGCCCGAAAAACATGCCTTTGGGGCTGCGCAGGAGAGCCGGGACCTACCTTCCCCCACCTGCCCCCCTCTTTGGCTCTGCCACTGATAGCCAGTGCTATTGTGTATTTTTGGTATTGTTCCGAAATGCATTTGTACAACTATGGTCTTATATCTTACTTCTTTCTCACTCAATGCAATGACCAAATATTGAAGCAAATTTTTTTCAAAATTCTAACCTTTCTGTTTTTAGAAAAACCTGCAGTAGTTCCAATGAGAGAATTTACTGATATGAGCTCTCCATTGATGCATATTGAAAGTTTTCTTCAAGCTTTAACTAATGCTGATAAAGATGGAAGAATTGTCATTTCTAAACAAGGTAGGTAACTGCCGAAGAGGCCAGGGTACTAACTGAATTTGGACATCATCTTAGTGTGCATATTTGTGTAAAATGTTTATTAATATGATGGTGGTTTTCTCAACTGCTCAACTGTGCTACTATATATATTTATCTTCAAATTGGTTTTTGAGAAATATCATCTTGACAGTATTTAGCTTATGGTATTTTTATCAGAGTTTTAATCTGTATTAATAATAAAAATTTCAGGTTTATTGAGTCAGTCCAGTATCAAGTTTTTACTGTTAAATCCTGCTGTCCATTTTACATCTGTAGTTCAAGAGGCTAGATCAGTTATAGTAGCTGGGGGAACCATGCAACCTGTATGTTGTTTTTTGTATTTACATGCCAAATTCTCTTAGCTTTTTTCTTCAGATTTCTGAGTTTAGTGATCAATATATTAGGAAAGCCGGCATATCTTGCTTGGCAACCACTTGTTCATAACAAATTGAAATAGAAACATATGTTAGATCAGACTTCATTTCTTGCATGCAATTTTTGTTGGTCTGTAGTCCTATAATTATTATATGAAGGCTATGCAACAAGAGTTGTCTCCCTTGATACTTTAATTTCAGAGTTTTAGATACTATTTAATATGCCTCTTATTGATCCTGATTTAGTTAAAAATTTAGTTTTGAGAAAATGTGTCCAGTTCTAAATCCTTTACATTTACTTTTTGTTTTCAGATCTCTGAGTTTACTGATCAACTTTTTCACTCCGCTGGTGTTAGCCCTTCCAGAGTCATGACTTATTCTTGTGGTATGTTTTTACCCTATCCTAATACTGTTACAGGTTTCTGTATAGGAATATACCTGTTCTATGGCATGATATTTTGGAGCAATTCACGAAAATAAGCAGTGTACTATGCATGGCAAAATTCCTGCACGTTGGCCTTAATGATGAGCATCATAAGCTCTGGCCCTTTACGTTCCTCGAACATGACATACAGATGGGATATAGGCATGTTTCTATAGTTCTTTAAACCTTCACCATAACAAACACTCATTTTGGAATAACTCATAACTTATTTGGCGCTGTTATGTTGGTGTATTAATGCTCTATCTAATTGGGATTTTTTTTTCAAATATTTGTGATGTTTTATAATTTACAGGCCATGTAATACCAGGGGACCATATTCTACCTCTTACAGTATCTACTGGTCCATCAGGGTATGAGATGGATTTTACTTTCCAGTCAAGAGAATCTCCAGCACTTGTGAGTTTTTGATTTATTATCTCAATTCTAGCACCTTATTCCTACCCTTTTTTACTCCTGTCTAACGACACCCCTACTATCATCTGCTTACTACTTTCAAAGTAAATTGGCAAAATGTCCATCGTAGTTTTCATCAGCCAAGTGTAAGACACAGAACCACATTACTTTCTGCATTTTGTAAATTAAAAAAAAGTGCTTTGATGAGAGATTGCAATGCACAGAAAGTTTTACACTAAATTAGAAAAAAAATTAAGTTGTATCTGGTTAGAGCTCTCTTCTTTAAACTTTTTATTATCTACATAGAACTATAATATTCTGTACTACTATGAAGCCATTATCCACTTCTCTTCTCTTTTCTTCATTTCTCTTAGAATAGATTAAGCTGGATCTAAGACCAATTTTTTTAAACTTTTTTATTCACTAAATCAATGCTTAGTCATAGTTCAAACTCATTAGATATTTTTTTGTCTTAGATTTTAAACTGTAAACTGTAATCAGAACAGTTTAACAAAGTAGAACAATGTCGAGATATCGACCAATCATCAACTTCAATAAAAACTGACTTGTATATTGACAGCGAACATGTCAGTATATTGCATATTCTCTCGATCATTCAACTTGTTACTAGCCACGTTGTGGGTCACATAAATTTTTGGACGATTTAGCTCACTTCTGGTGAAGACATAGTAGGTCACGTAAATATGTAGAGGTCATGTTTGGTTGATTTGACATTAAGTATTAAGAATTGGGTGTCTTTGACCGTTAAGTTCAACAAGGACCTTGGCTATTACTCATCAAGGAAGACTTCTGCTTCCCTGTTAGACGAGTCCATTTCTGTTTCCTTTCCTTAACCTATATTATCAATGTCAACAATGGGTCTCTTTTTACTCATTGTTATGAAGCACACTTGTTAAAATTGACAAATTTTGTTTGTTTTTCACTTATTGTCACCTTCATCCACTTTTAAAAATAGAACATTCCATTTGGTGTCATAATGATAGAGGAAAATCTATTACATGGAAGAGTTTATGTTTGTCTAGAGGGTAGAGTAAGAAGTTGGAAGAGTCTATGTTAAGTACAGCATGAGATGAGCCAAATTGGACCTCTATCTTATAGAACACAACAGATTACAGAAGTACATGTGCACTCTGTCCAACCAAAAAAGTACAGTTAAACTCTTATGTAATGCAGGCCATGATGGCTTTTAATGGACAATTGGGGTGGTCTGGTTTCATGCACTTAAAAAGGAAACAATGTACATGTCAGCCTACTCGACAAGGAAATATGACACTTGATATATACATGAAGCCATGTCAGTAATTAATTAGATTTTTATAACGAGCTGTGGCTTTTATCTTGTGGATATATTTGTTCTGCCATTGATATATTCCCAATTACCAGTACCATTTTCTTTGTCTTAAATGAAACTAATAAAATGATATTTGATCTTGATGAATCTGTAATTTACTTGTTATATGAAATTCAGTTTGGTTTTTGTAAAAAGAAAAATGTAGTGTTCATGAAACTTTAGTTTCGAGTTTTCTAGTAACCTTTTTACTTTATTTTTGTTTTGAGTGGTATTCATGGCAACTATCTGATAGTTATTGCTATAGAGCTATTGGTAAATGTACATGCTGCATATTTCTATGATTGCAGTCAATGGTTTAACAATGTATTGATTATACATATAATACTAAGGTTTCATTCAATGTTAATTGGTTGATTGGTTTATAAAACTATTGATAAAAATGAAGTGAACTGGTATGATTGCTTCAGTTATTCTGAAATATATGTATTGATTCTATATATATGTATTAGATATTATAAATTTATATTTATGCATAGCGTGAAACTCTGAGTAATGACATCATGTGTTTTTAGGTTCTGTTTTGATATTTCTATATTGCTCTACACATATATCGCTCTACAATTGATGTATTGAACACTATTTTAACAGTGGTATTTCTATAACGCTCTACAATTGTTGTATTGAGGACTATTTTAACAGTGGTATTTCTATATCACTCCACAATTGATGTATTGAACACTATTTTAACAGTGGTATTTCTATATCGCTCTACAATTGATGTATTGAACATGGTTTTAACAGTGGTATTACTATATAGCTCTGCAATTGATGTATTGAGCTCTACAATTGATATATTGAGCACTATTTTAACAGTGGTATATCTATATCACTCTACAATTGATGTATTGAGCACTATTTTAACAGTGGTATTTCTATATCACTCTACAATTGATGTATTGAACACTATTTTATCAGTGGTATTTCTATATTGCTCTACAATTGATGTATTGAGCACTATTTTAACAGTGGTATTTCTACATAGCTCTACAATTGATGTATTGAGCACCATTTTAACAGTTGTATTTCTATATTGCTATACAATTGATGTATTGGGCACTATTTTAACAGTGGTATTTCTATATCACTCTACAATTGATGTATTGAACATTATTTTAACAGTGGTATTTCTATATCACTCTACAATTGATGTATTGAGCACTATTTTAACAGTGGTATATCTATATCACTCTACAATTGATGTATTGAGCACTATTTTAACAGTGGTATTTCTATATCACTCTACAATTGATGTATTGAACTCTATTTTATCAGTGGTATTTCTATAACGCTCTACAATTGATATATTGAGCACTATTTTAACAGTGGTATTTCTACATTGCTCTACAATTGATGTATTGAGCACCATTTTAACAGTGGTATTTCTATAACGCTCTACAATTGTTGTATTGAGGACTATTTTAACAGTGGTATTTCTATATCACTCTACAATTGATGTATTGAACACTATTTTAACAGTGGTATTTCTATATCGCTCTACAATTGATGTATTGAACATGGTTTTAACAGTGGTATTACTATATAGCTCTGCAATTGATGTATTGAGCTCTGCAATTGATATATTGAGCACTATTTTAACAGTGGTATATCTATATCACTCTACAATTGATGTATTGAACACTATTTTAACAGTGGTATATCTATATCACTCTACAATTGATGTATTGAGCACTATTTTAACAGTGGTATTTCTATATAGCTCTACAAATGATGTATCAAACACTATTTAACAGTGAAAATATTTCATTTTATTGTAAATTTGTGTATGACAAGAAATGTAAAAACAGAACCTAAAAAAACATGTTGTTGTTACTCAGAGTTTCACGCTATGCGATCTTCAAATAACAGACCTATTTCAGCCTATATCCCTACAGAAGTTTGATAACTCTAATACTGAACATGAAATATACAAGTATATAATTGTAAAAAGTATTGAAAATCAAATTGTATTAATGGGGTAGATCTTTATTTTCTATTTTAATTTGAAGCTTAAATTTCATGTTACTTTTTATTCCAAAAAAGTTGAACCTATGGACTTCAAAAATCATGTTCTTACATTTTCTCTTCAGTAAAAGAAAAATGCAAATCAGCAATTCTTTGCCTCAGGTGAATTTCCTTCTACGGAATCCATATCAAATCTTGATAGGTTTCTTTTATCTAATCTAAATAAAGATTGATTTACAATAAAGGGAAAAAAGACAATGTATGGTTTGTTCAGCACTGATGTATAAAATCAATGTTAAGTGTGGAATAATTATATACAGTGACTTGAAAATGAAATTTTTTCTGTGTTAAAGGGACGAATTCACCATTTTCGGAGGCTGATTTGGGTCTCAGATATAGGTACATAATCTTCAGAAATTCCTTCAAAAACACCTCAAACTAGAAATGTCACTTTCTATTTAGACTATAAAATGTCTTTTCTCTATAAGGCAGAGTCTCAGGAAATGATAAGTCATCAGTTTAATATTCAAACACAGATTTGATAAAAAGTACAATTGGTGAACGGATGGTGAATCTTTTCCTTAAAACTGACACAGAATATTAAAGTAAAACTGTCTACAATCATATAACTCAAATTTTTTTTTTTTACCCAAGATTAAAATTCAAACTAAAGCTAAAATCAATTTATGGATTCATCTAAAGATTATGAATTTCTTGTTTATTAAAAACCTTATTTTAAGTTTTTTTTTTTTAGAAATATAGAAATTTTGCAAAAACATTTATGTGATATAATTTGTCAAAAGTCTGGATATTCAAAGATATATTCAGTCAAATAAAGGCAATCTAAGAGTTATATTTAAGAATATATTTTTCACAAGAATTGTTATTCAGAGATTGTATGAGCAAAAAAAAAGGCAATCAAATATTTTTGGTCTTAAAATGGTAAAATGTAATGGTGTGTTGTGGTGAAAGAACTTGGGTGGTCTGATACAGTTGAATTGAACCAGTTGGGTGGTCTTTGTCCAAGCTATCTCCCAATAGTTATGTTCTCTCTCTCTCCTACAGTTTCTACTCACCTACCTCAGTGGTACAAACATGGTGTTATTTTGAAATTCAATCTGTCAGAGTTTATAGTGCATAAAGGTGAGCGGTACAGATTGTTCGATTGGCCGTCCGGAGCGAAATTGTGGCTACAATTGAAAGTAGAAGAACAATTCTGTGTCTAAACCAATGTCTTGTATATTCCGCAACTTTTGTTTCTGGATATCTCTTTAATCATAAATACAGAAAAATTGCCAATCTTTTCTGTTGTTTAGCAAGGCTTGAAATGCACACCATTCCAAAATAATGAAATATAGCCTCTATGGATAGGATGTATGTATGTATACCTTATATAGGAAATGCATGTCAAATCCTTTCTGCCAATGCTCAACAACTCTGCTGTTTTGTTAATATTTTGAAGTCTGTTTTGGTTTTCCGTTATTGTCAGTTGAGAAAGATTTGAAAGACTCCATAGGGTATAATATTTTCAAAACGATTCTTTTTTCATCATTAGCTATATATTAAATTCTTCATTACCACATGAGATATATATATACTTGCCTCTTTAAATTTTGAATGGATACCTTTAAAGGGACAGGTGCGCCATTTTTTTTACCAATCGTACGTT